TCGAATGCAGACCTGTAAGATGGGATAGGTGCTATCAACCCTCTGAGATGGTTAAAGGAAATTGGAAGCTCTATTTAAAAGCCGTTGTGTTGTTACTAATCCACATATTTAATCACTTTACATTTTTTGGCAATAAACAAGATTTTTGTCTGGGCAGTAAAATCTAGAATGAGATTAGAGGTTTATGTTTGTTTTGCAGCAAACTATTTAGAATTATTTTCTCCAGTTATATTGCACATCAAAGTTGACATTTTTCTAAAGTTGACGGCAGTCAGATCTCTGGGAATGTGCAATGTAACACGGTATCATCTGCTTCTTCAAGCTTTAATCATGGGTACCAAGTTACTGGCATAGAAACTTAGAAATCTACAGCACAGAAGGAGGCCATTAGGCTCATCAAGTCCACTCCAGCTCACAGAGCAAGGAGATCACTTCAATCTCACTACCCTACCTTGTTCCCATCTTGACAGCCGCAATGGACTCCACCTCCACCACCCTCCCGGGCAGGGCCTTCCACATGCCTATACTCTCTGGGTGAAAAAGTTCCTTCTATCTTCTCCTTATGCTGTTCTTGTGGTTGTCTTGGAACCATGCCCCCTAGTCACAGACTCCCCTATCAAATATTTCCTCTCTATTTACCCTGACAAACCCCCTCATAATTGCAGGTCCCCGCTCAACCTTCACTACTCAGTGAAAACAGAGACAGATACCTTTCCAGCCTTTCCAATCTCTCCTCGTAATTGTAGCTCTTCATTCCCCCGGAATCATTCCCGTAAACCTTCTCTAAGGCCTTAACATCTTTACTGAAATGAGGCGATCAGAACTAGATGCAGTATTCCAGCCTAACCAATGAATTGTAAAAGCTGAGCATTATTGATTTACTTATATATAAAACCCTTGTTGTGGGATGAACCAGATCGACATGGTGCGACACTGGCATGGATACATGTGCCTGCTGAGTGCACCTGGTGGACTTGAAGCAGTTCCACGAATGGTTAGCGCTGTTGTTCATTTCATTACAACAGAGAAAACTCCCAAAGCCTTGCATCGCTTGTGGAAGTATAACGCTCACGGCAAATTATCAGTTATCGAGCAGATCATCAAGGAGTTTATAATCATTAAACCCCAGGTGCAAGCCAATGGTCAATGTTCCTTTCATTTCTCAGTCTGATTCTTCGCTAAAGATGACAAGCGAGAGATGTGAGAGTGAAACAGTGATTTGAGATTGTGGTTCAGCACTCTGGTCTGTCAGTGCAACAGCTTCTCATTGTCATGGAAATGTCCAAGCCGCTTCGGGAACCAGATTAGAAAACATGTCATTTGCGTGGATAATTCATTCTGTTATGATGTCGACCTCTTCACAGAAACACTGTGCTTCTTCATGTATTTTAATTTGGTAAAATTACATGAAATTGCCCCGTCTCCATGATTACAGCAATTACCGGCCAGAGAATAAACCTGGCTGAGATTGGCTCTCAACCCAGGCTGTAAGTGGCAGTGCATTTACAAACACAGCTTTTTATTATTAACCATTCATCAGATGTAATTGAACGGCTATCGACGGTCACAACATATTCCCCCCTTTTGAAACTATTTAAGAGATTTTTGGTGCGGGCAGCTAAATAAACAGAGTGGTCAATATCAGCAATTGCCAGGGTGGGGAATCAATGGCTCACCTTGCAGCTGGCGCAGTGTTGCCCTCAGTTGGTGCTGAGATCACTTCAACAGATTCGACACTGGAATAAGTTTGAAAGTCATGTTGTTCATTTAAAGACGTCGTGTACCACAGCACACTGAAACTGGAGTAAAATGAGGAAATCGATTAGCACTCTGGGATAAATAAATACAAATACAATTTGATTTTGATGGGTAATCATCCCTCCACAAAAAAAAATTAGTCATTCAATGTTTGTGGGACACTGCTGTGCACAGCTGGTTGCCATTTTTCACCCACAAAATACACAGTCAATCCACTTTGCAGTATATTCTGTGAAGAGCTTTGAGACATCTCAATGACGTGATCAGCGTTATGTCAAATGCAAGGTTTATTATTATAATGATCAGGGGAAGAGTTGGACAGAAACACCCTCACTTCTCTCCAATGTAGATTTCTATGAAATTGAAAACAAACATACTGTTTGCTTGCTATCTCGGTGGCATCTGCATTTTAAGGTATATTCAAATCAGATTAGCTAGATCTTAAAATCACAACACATTTTTCATCCTCCACCATAGCACCTGCAAGTCTGATACTGTCTGTCTTAGGCTCCCTGTCACCACAGGCAACATGGATAAGCAGAAGTAAAGATGTGGCAGTAATTAACAAAAAAAAAACACTGAAAAAGAACATAAAAACATTCAGAAACTGCTAGAAAGGCATGTAAAAAACAAGATTTTATTTTGAATCTGCAGCAAAATGCAACAATTTGAGATGTCAATATAATGTGGCCAAATCTTGACAATAGCCAAACATGGAAATGAAAGGAGAAATAAATTAGAATTCAATGTAATTTCTACAAAGTCTGCAGTTTTCATATCAATTAATTATTACTTGCAAAAGATTTCCCTTTACAGCATGATCTAAAAGCATCTCGTTTCACAAATAAACCTAAAAAGTTCTGAGACGGGCAGTGCTGGTATGACAGATTACAGTTGTACATACAATCCTAACAGTATAAAATATTATTATATTACTTTTTTATCTCCAAGTAATAGTGACTACAGTTTAGTTGAAGTTTCAAGATTAGAAATGACACTATCTGACAGGTTCAGCTCAAATTACCTTAGTGAATAGATATTGGGGTGTTGTGCTCTCTCCGTAGCAAATGTGCTCATGACCTGCACTACTATACTACTCTTTCCATGTATTTTGCAAATGTGTATGTGTACAGTTCCTGCAATGACATTTTATATGTATAATGTAGTGTTACAGTCAAAATTGAACGTTTTCGCTTCTCAGTCGCAGTTCACAAAGCCAGGCAGAAGCTCGGACTTTTCCTGTTGTCTGTTTTCGGGCTCAGCACACGTCAGGTTGGTTCTGGGAATAGAGGACTCTGATTCAATCATTGGCTCTCCATTGAATCCCTGGTCTGTGTGTCTTCCAGGCAGAGTCCCATTCTCAGAATTAGGGCTGTTATTGTGCGAGAATTCACTGGAGTGCAGCGATGTCGACAACGCCAGCTGGCTGTCAGCTTTCTGTGCAAAGTCACTCCTGACTCCTGGGTGCCCATTTGCACTGGACTCCATGATAGAGAGTGGCGTGGTCCTGTTGCTCGGCGTCTGAATGATAGAGCTGGCACCTGACTGTAAAGAAATAAAGGACAAAGTTGACTCAACACTGTCCAAAACTGCTATGTATCTAGCTTGTTCTCTTTGACATTTTGAGTTGGATATGTTTGGCTTCAAATGGGCCCATCTAGAATTATAATGATAACAATACTTGCATTTGATATAGTGCCTTATCACGTCTTTGAGACGTCTCAAAGCACTTCACAGAATATACTGTAAAATGAGTTGATTATATTTGTGGGCAAAACACAGCAGCCAATTGCGCCTGCAGGAAATGAAGCAAGCAGTCTTTTTAGGGGCTGTTTTAGTGACAAGAAGATTCTTAAACATGGATTGTGGAATGACAGATGCACAAGATATTCTGAAATGGTTTTAATAAGTTTTTAAGTATGAAACAATTCCAGAATCTTCTAGGTGATCTCTCTCGTGTCACATTTCCTAAACACAATAAAAATGTCTGATAAAGATTACTTTGTCTGTCCGAAAAACCTCAGGCACCTGGGCCAATGGATTGACTCCAATGTATTTAGGAGTGAGACCCAGTTGAGCCTGCTGATAACTGTGTCATTAAATCAGATCACTGTGGGAAGCTGTGATCTCTGAGGTTTGCAAACCCCTTGACTATCTTGGGAAATGTGTGTCTAATTTATTTCTTTTGGTCCTGTGTGATGTGGCTCTCGTTTTGATATTATCTGATTGAATTGTTCTGATTGTTCTATTTGCTTTGATCACTCGTTGCTGTGTTTTTTCACGCTCATCATATAGTTAATTTTGTATTCTTCCTCCATTGTGCTTCACTGACACTCAAACTGGTCACATTCAGTGCAGCACAAACAACATGTACATCCTGTAATCCAGTCTTGGAGCACCATCTGGTGGAAGTATCATTAATAGGTTCTACAGAAAAGGTTGTCCACTGATTACAGTGCTAACTGTAATTTCCCTAGCAGTTGTCCTTTAATAAATACATGATAATGATATTCCTTGCATTCGATGTAGAAATGTCACAAAGTGCTTCAACAATATTTGCTATCACATGTAGTGATTGTATTTGTAGTCAGCCAATTTGCACACAGCAAGTCATAAAGTGAGTGACACATTTACGGTAAGGTTTTCTGTTTGACCAGGGTAGCAGAAGAAACTCCATCCTCTTTTCAGATAGTGTCCAGAGATTGTTAATGGCCACCTGAATAGGTAAGCGGACCTCAGGCCACTTCTTCCTGCAGATTTCTTAATCAAGCATGTTTCTCCGCCTCGCCCCGTCCCTCCCCACCTTCAAATCCCACCTAAAGACCTTCCTTTTTGATCATGCTTACAGACACCTCCCCCCTCCCTATCCCCCTGGCTCGTTGTCAGACTCTGCCACTGTGAAGAGCTCTGGAACGCTACCCCGTGTGAATGGCGCTATATAAATGCACCTTGTTCTTGTGAGTTACTGTTGTAGATTATGTATGCATGAGGGTGAAATGTGCCATTTGTTTGAATTGAGCAGTTTGTGCTGAACTTTCACAGGTGGTAAATACAATGTAAATGCAATGCTATATATTATGCTGAGAGTTAAATCCCTTTCTCTTTCACAGTTGCTATTGCAGATGGTAGCACTGAGCCCCTATTGCACATACCTGCTGTATGGATGAGATGCTGTCCCCATTCTCATTTACCTTCCTTGGTCGTGGAATCCAGTGACAGACAAGACTGTCATTTTGAACACTGTAGTTTTTGTTCCCAATGAGCCAATATGTTTTCATTTTGCCCTTTCCCTGTTAGAAAGGAGAGATAACCAGAACTGTTTAGAGGATGTAAACAAAGTTTGAATGAAATGAAATATAAACTCAAAGGTCTCTTTACGAGAACCAGAACCACTGCCATTTACCTTGACCTCAGTTTCTCCTCGGGGTTCAATATCATAAGCATCATCTTTGACCAGGGCACAGAAGGTAACAGAGCTAATGTGGATTTTCTGGGCTGCAAAAGAGGCACAAGATGTAATTCTGTACAGTGGCTTAAACCACATGGTACAGTTCCATAGTACAGATCAGGATCAGACCTCGGAATGCCTTAATTTCTAATCATACTACGTTGTGGTGACTTACGCAGACTGGTGGATTCCATGCGAGATGCAGTATTTACAGTATCTCCAAAAAGGCAATAGCGAGGCATTTTGTAGCCAACCACTCCAGCCACACAGGGACCTACACACAGGAACAGTGTGGCACATATTAATATCAGAGGTCAAATGTAACATAATGTATAATATCAGACTGCGAGGGGATATTTGAAAGCTCTTTTGTGATTTCTGGACTCAGATTTTATTCAAGCTTCATTCTCCGGCAGTATTACATTCCCAGAACTCTTTGCATTACCAAGATTACAACAACAACTTGCATTTATATAGCGCCCCTCACGCAGGGTAGCGTCCCAGGGCTCTTAACCTATTACCACTGAACTATTCAGTGTGCTGCGTCTGTGTCCTCTGTGCAGTACAAACCTGTGTGAACGCCAGCCCTCAGCTGCAGCCTGTCATTTGGCATGTGAGGAATTGGCACCTGCCGTACAGCTGCTACCAGATCCAGGGCCATTTTAGCAATCTCGTCAGCGTGCTTGTTCCCATTGCGCTCGGGGAGGCCACTCACTACCATGTAGGCATCGCCAATCGTCTCCACCTGAAATACAGAATAGAATAAAATCCTTACATGGTTTTCTGTTAAAAATGTAAATGTAAAGCCTCATGAACTGCTTGCACTGCACTGAGTGAAACTGGTTCTGTTTGTTTTTGTTCTTGGGGGAATATTACTTTTGTCATAGGTGTTGAATGATGACATTCATGAGTTCTCCCACTTATTGGGTGTCAGTTGACTGACTGGCTCAGTTGGGCTCACTCTTGCCTTTCAGTCAGAAGGTTGCGGGTTCAAACACCACGTTTGGACTTTGAATTCATATTGTAACCAGGCTGACACCCTAATATAGAGCTGGCAGAAAACTACATTGACTCAGGTGCTGTCATTTGGATGAGGTGCCAGATGTCAGCCTTTTCAGGTGGGCAGTAAACATACCCTGCAACTCTTTGAAAAGAGAAGGGAGTTTCTCCCAGTGTCCTTACCAAAGAATGCTGCATTTGTCTACAAAAATACACAGCATAACCCTGGGAAGCAATTTGAAATGTCCTCACGACGTGAAAAACGCTCTATCAAATGCGAGGATTATTATTAAAGCTTGTCGTTCCTGAGTGTTGTACCTTATACACATCGTACGATTCAATCCTGGTGTCAAAGCACATGTAGAGGTTGTTCAGCATCTCCACAACCTGGAGAGGAGCACATGAGGCCGCGATGCTTGTGAATCCAACAATGTCTGAGAAAAATATTGTCACCTGCCAATAAGTTTAAAAACAACTGTAACGACATGTACCTTTGGGGCCACTGCACACACAGTTGTTGACTAAGATTGTGACTTTCACACCAGTTAATCAATACCTGTGGATCCTTTTTGCTCTGAAGCAGTTTAATACTGTCAATATATTCTCTTTTTCTTCCCATTGTATTAGTTTGAGTTATTTTCGCCCACAAATACACAGTCAATTCACTTTACAGTATATTCTGTGAAGCGCTTTGAGACATCTCAAACATGTGATAAGGCACTATATTAAATGCAAGGACTATTATTATTATTTAAACTCCTGCAGAGAGAATTGGTCAGTGGTTCCAAGTACCTCTACTGCTTCTGGTTCGTAATCCAACAATCTACCTCTGGGAATTTCCAATGTGTAGGTGGGATGCATGGAAATATCAGTTTGGTTTGGATACTCTTAAGCATGGTGATGAGTTTCTGCATGTGGCTGGCGAAAAAAAAAGATTTGTAATAGGCGAGGGTGGGGTGAGAGGTCAAGTGGAGCTGGGGAAGAAACATGTGCTCATTTTCCTTTCCTTCCTTAAACCTGGTCCCTCATCTCATTTTGCGATTGCACCTGAGAGTCTGTTTACAATGGCTGCTCAACATCTCAGGGTAAAAAAAGCAGCAAAGGCTAGTGCCTTTGACCATGCCTTCAGCTCCCCTCTCGACTCTCTACCCCCTCCTCGCTCCCTCCCTTCCCTCCCCTCACCATTTTCCCCCTGCTCGGGTCCTGACCCAACTGTACAGCGCCTTGGGACGTCCTCCCGACGTGAAAGGCGCTCTATAAATGGAATCTTGTTGTTGTTGTTGTAGTGGTACGGCTCATACACTGCACAGGGCACTGTCTGTTGGTATAGCAGCTCATTTGGACATCTTTCCCTCAAAAGGGCTGTGGATGTTGGATCCATTCAAGTTTTCAATACTGAGGTGGATTGATATTTGTTAGGTCAGGGCATCAAAGGATATGGGGCAAGGGCGGGTTAACTGGAGTTAAGCCACAGATCAGCCCTGACCTTATAGACTGGTGGAACAGGCTCGAGGGGCTGAATGTCCTTCTCCTGGATGATTTCAGCCTGGCACCTGAGATGGGAGCACTGATGCATTGCTTGTGTGAGTGCTGTTATAGCAGGGACAGATCAGTCACACTACAAACCAGACTCAAATAAACACATCTCTTTTTGTTCTCTTATTTACATGCATTACTTCAAGAGACCTGCTTTCTTCCATCCCCTGTTGCGAACTTTCAGACAATGTTTGATCCGGTCCAGGTCGGTGGTTGAAATTGGCTAATTAATTCTAATTATTTCTCGAAAACGACAGCTACAAATGACATTCAAATGCTAATAAGTTGTACACCTGACAGCAATTTGCTATCCACCATGGAGCGAAATGAGCATGGGATCAGGCAGTCTGAGCCCTGAGCACCCCCTGATCGTGGTTGGTATAAATATTACGAAATATTTAATATTGGATAAAATCTTTATGTTGGACGACATCATCTTTAGACCCAATCTGTTGGAAGCGCTTCTCTGCGTTGACTAATTAAACTCAGAGCATCATAGCATCGAGAGTCTAATCACACACACACCCCACCCATCCCCATACCCCACACACACTCATACGCACACACAGAGTTGCCCCCTCTCCCCCCACCACACACACAGTGTCCCCCACCAACATACACAGCCCCCCCCCCACACACACACACACACAGCCCCACACACAGCCCCCCCCCCACACACACACACATCAGCCCCCCCACCACCTCCCCGACACACAGCCCCCTCATACACACATACTCTTCCCCCCACACACACACACCCAAATCTTTCTGGTCCAGGGCTTTTACACAGTGATTGTGCACAGTTGCAGATTGCACACTCTCCCAGAGCCGGGGAGGGGGTGGTGGGGGGGGGGAGGGGGTGGTGGTGGGGGGGTCACTCACTCACAGATCGGCTTCAGTTGTCACATTGCCGGAGTTCCCAACATCTTTTACCTGCTCATAGCTTTCTGCCTCCACATGCTTGTGCTTCCGGAGCTGTCTGGCCACTGATTTGGGCAACATCTGGTGGAGGAGGTCCTCAGCCACCCGCCGCTCACGCTTCAGGTCATCTGTTCTCTCATTGAGACTCCGAGCATAGTTCTGGATCCAATGTGTCATCTGTCGGAAGGACACAAGCACTATTGGGTAGATGAGGCAGGCCACCACCAACAAGCTGACCTTGAGGCTGACAGCAGAGAGGATGTCTCTGGATTTCTGTCTCAGGCTATCATTACTCTTCTGAAGCAAACAGTCCTGGACAGCACTGAGCTCCTGAACGTCGACTCCTATCGGGTGCTGGTTGTCAGCAGTCGGGAAATGAAACAGAACGATGGGTTCGTAAAGAGAAATCGTTTCGGAGCGGGTAAAGTGTGGCGAGAAATTAGCATTCATCTTCCAGCATCTCTGCATGTTGTCTGACATGAATAGAGCAAAGTTGAGGCTTGTAATGATCTGCTGCCAACCATCTGATGATCCTCTGGCCTGGATGTGACCTGTGATCTGTGGATCCTAAAGATGACCTCCTTAATCCTGAGTGTCAACCTGAGGGACATCACATCAGCCCAGTCCTGGTTCGCCCTGACTATGGCGAGATCTTTCTCTGGGTCTCCAAGAACATCGAGCAGATCAGCAATGATCAAGGAGAGAATAGTATCAACATCACCTTCGGAGCCTCCTTCGGCCCATGAGTTTGTTTTGAGACTTGCCAGGGTTTTATTGACAAATTTAGTGCAAGTCCAATCTTCCTTTGAACAGCTGTAGCCCCCGCTGTGTTCCAGCTCGGTGCACATGGCGTCCATCCATCTCAAGGCTTGGGCAGTGATGGACTGGTTGCTTCGGATCTTGGAGGAATGGGTACCATTTTGCCACCAAAAGGCGCTGCGGTCCTCCTGGAAACGGCTGATGAAGTGGATAAGGAGGGAGGTGGGACAGGAGGTCAGTGCCTGGAGGGCGCTCTGGGTGTCTCTCCACACCTCCAGGCTGCCCCTCAGGTCCAGGGAGACGGAGCCCAGTAAAGAAATCAGAGAGAGGAGGCAAACTGCCATAATACGTCGAACTGTGCGGCTGCCTCCAACTCTGGGAGGGGCAGAGCATCTGAGGAAGATTGCAGAACCATCAGCAAATCTATATCAATGACACTTGCGGTTGTACATGAATTAATTGCAACTCGCAGAGAATTTGGTATTGAATACTCTCTCTCTGTATATATATATATATATGTGAACATTTATATGAATATGTCCACAATGGTTCTCTGCTGTTGGAGGTCAAACGCACTCAAAACGGATCGGGCAGAGATTTATTGACGCAATTTATTTATTGCGTGAATAAATAAACGTCAGAATTTTCCCTTTGAAACGACCCCCTGTTTCAGCAATTTTTAAAAAAATATATATACATATATAAAGTCTTTTAAATATATTATTGGCGGTTCCCTCGTTCAGTAGCAGCACATAAAACAGACGTGACATTTTTAAACGAAGTACTATATTTTATTTTCCTTTGCAAACGGGATAATAGTTTAATGATCCCCATTGAAACCTTTTTTTATTTGTATGGGATACATCCGTAGCTTGAAATATAACTCGCACGTTTGAAGTAAATTAGTTTCACAAGTTGCAGATTTTTTTCTCCTTAAAAACATATTTAAAAAATATATTGTGAAGTGCAGAATCATGTGAACCTCCGCTGTTCATGTTTGGCTGTTTTGTAACGGAAATATTATATTAAAAAAGCCTCCCATCTTTACCCCACAACATTTACAGTCACTACACTTTACAGTCTATCCAATGCAGCGCTTTGAGACATCTCGAAGACGTGATAAGGCGCTGTATCAAATGTCAGGGATATTATTATTATTATCTCAATTAAATAAACCGTTCTGTAAAAGGAACCATTGCCAGAAGCCCTCACTCACACACTCACTGCTCACCTCCTTCGCTCCTGGTTAGTATTTTTTTGCCTGAACATTTCTATATATTTTCGTTTGTGTTTCCCCGAATGTCTCTCTGTGGACTGCAGAGATTTCCATATTTCAGACTAAATTCTATGTTGATTAGATGTCTACATTGTCCTAACCGTTTGAATGTTAGCAAACGTGTCTTAGCTTCTGTGTAGAGTCAGATCAGAGTCAGTTTATTGGTGAGTAATAATGAGCAGAGAATTATTATTATTATTATTATTATTGTGTTTTTATATGTTCCGAATTCCCTGCTCGCAATGTACGAGTTCCCAAAGATGTGAACTGTGAAGTGTTTAGCTGTGTGTTAGTCCTGTTGGATCCTTTCCGAGAGGAAAGATTATTTGTACTGTCTGTGCTATCGAATTTTTTTTTTTAGCAATTTTATTTTCAGGATATTTTCCGTTAATTTACTATTTATTTCGTTTACTGTTACAAATGCCGACATTTATTATTCGTTTTATGATATTTTCGATGGGTCACTGCCCCTCTGGGAATGTTTTCTGCGCCACACAATGTTCTGTCACTGATGTTTGCAGCGAATTAACCGATATGGTTTTTTTTTAAAGTCAGAATTTAGAATAATCGGTCAGTCACTGGTCATCTGCGGTCCCTTTCCCGTTACCGACTGATCTGCAGTGTGACATTCACACTCACTCACTCACTCACTCACACACACACACACTCACTCACTCACTCACACACAGTCACTTACTCACACACACACTCACTCACTCACTCACGCACTCACTCACACACTCACTCACTCACTCATTCACACACACATTCACTCACTCACACACTCACTCACACACACAGTCACTTACTCACACACACAGTCACTCACACACTCACTCACACACTCACTCACTCACTCACTCACTCACTCAATCACACACTCACTCACTCGCTCACTCACCAACACACTCACTCACGCACACACTCACTCACTCACTCACACACAGTCACTCACTCACACACACACTCACTCACTCACTCACTCACTCACTCACTCACTCACTCACTCACTCACACACTCACTCACTCATTCACACACACATTCACTCACTCACACACTCACTCACACACACACAGTCACTTACTCACTCACACACACTCACACACTCACTCACTCACACACACACTCACTCACTCACTCAATCACACACTCACTCACTCACGCACACACTCACTCACTCGCTCACTCACCAACACACTCACTCACGCACACACTCACACACTCACTCACACACTCACTAACATTACACACTCACTCACACACTCTCACATTCACTCTCTCTCTCTCTCACACACACACACACACAGAACGACTTTATAATACCATCTATTCTGCTGTTCTCACTCGAAAAATCCTCCTGTGGTCCCGTTTCGTTTCGTTTCATTTCATTCCATTCGGTCAGTTATTTACCTGTGACAATCACAGAGGGTATCCGAGTCCTCGGCTCCTGTCTTTCCGGACACATTGACTGCCCTGAGGGGGGAGTGGGGCGACTGTCCTTCAGCTTTAGCTGCAGAGGAGGGGGGGTCACAGGCCCTGTCCTGTCTGTTGGCTGCGGACATCAGCAACACACTGAGAGGGAGAAACCACAATCCTCCCACAGACTCGGGATGTGGTCCTGCAGACACCTCACTGGGACTCTCTCCTCTCGTCCCACACACTGGAAATTGGGAATGTGATGGGGAGGGAGTGTGGGAATCCCCAGTGCTGGACCACCGCCTCCCAACACAGCATCAGGACCAAACCTCCCAACCCGACTGTGTGGATGACAGAGCGCCGGAGAGGAAGGGGTTAAGGGGAGGGGGGGGCAGAGAGATGGTGGGATGGGGAGTGCGGAGGGAGGGGGTCCCTAATACAGGAGGAGGAGAGGGAATGGAATAGGAATGGGAAAATATGACGTGGGAAAGGATAGGAAGAGATGCAAATCTTGCTCTCTGCAGCCTCTCAGCCAGGACCCTGTCAACAGGAAATCCACCATCTTATTCCACTTTGTATATTAATAATAATTATTACAATAATTAATAATTATTATTACTATGTTGTTTCTGATTTCTGCCTCAGTCTCCCCTAAGCTATATGTAAACCACTTCAGGTCCCAGGCAGGGAATTCAAAACTTATTGCTTTTTATTCGTATTTAATATTCAATTTTATTTATCCGCACGCCTCTGTTTACCTTAGCAGTTGTTAGTCGATTGGCGGATCGCTTTCCTGGGGCAATAATTCCTTTTTTAAAAATGTGGGTCGCTCAATCCACGACCGTTTGTCGGACACTGCTGTGCGCAATTGGTTGCCGCGTTTCGCCCACAAAACACACAGTCAATCCACTTTAAATACATAATGTGAAGCACTTTAAGACATCTTAACAATGTGATAAAGCGCTATATTAAATGCAAGGATTATTATTCTACTCTATTTCTCAGATTCTCTCCTCTGACCTTAGGAATGAACTCAACAGCACAAGTCCAAGTGGTTTTGTCTGAAATGTTTAACATTTTTTTCTCCCATTTGAGGATGCATGACTGACCTCTGACCATACTCTTAAAATAGCAATCCTCCTTTTGTTTTCTCTGTTCTCCTTTTCTTGCGTGGGGATTTTCTATAAAAATAATAATCCTTACATTTGATCCAGCACCTTTCAAGTTTGGAGGACATCTGAAAGCGTTTCACAGGATGTACCGTAAAGTGTAGCAACTGTGTATTTTTGTAGATGATCACGGCAGCTAATTTGTGCACAGCAATGCCACACAAACAGCAATGCCACACAAACAGCCTTAAAGTGAGTGACCAATTTTATTTGGGATTGTTAGCACAATCATGAGTCCAGAGTTAATCAGAGCTAAGTAACAAATGAAGTAGTGTCTCACGAGTTGGAGACCTTTTATTTAACAAACCACATGTGTGGTGTGAATGTCGACAATGATTACTCTGTCGCCGTTCTAACCTTTTAAGCAGATGTGAGGTAAGCCACTGCTTCAATCATGCGGCATCTTCAAAGGCAGGAAAACATACATATAAATCATGGCGATTCATTGTAATGCAACTTGTACTTCAATGTATCAGGTGCAATAAGGTAGCATTCAGAAATAAGGGGCAATTTTGTATTCATGCTGTAATGGTTTGGAAAGCCTCAGGATAATAGGCCTGTTGGCACTCTCGCTCCGGGATTCTGTTGTCAGTCACCCAGCAGAGGATTTAAAGATGTGTTATCAAAGGAGAGAGTTCTACACTGATTTGTTTAAGTGATGGTGTAGACGAGTGTGCACTGTTTTGCTAAACTGCGTTTTAGGTGAATGAATAGAGGTGGAGTCTATCCGTGTTTGCTATGTCCTAATCTACAGGAACATTGGAGCCATTTGTTTGTCTTTGATGAGTAAACCTCAAGATCTCTGTACAGATTCACCTGAGGTCTTTTT